CAAAATTAAACCCAACTCCCAAGCCCAAAACCCCAAAGATAAAAGGGTTGATTTATTAAAACCAGAGAAGTCTGGGACATAAGGCAATATAACTTAATAATAATATAATATAATATAGCACAGTGCTGATACACACCACTGGCATTTTCCTGTGAACAGACAGTGCTTCTTCTACTTTTATTTTTTCCATCTAGCTTACATTGATGAAGATAAAAATTTATTGTCAGAAAAATAATTTCATTTAAACTGGCATGAAATACAGAGAGCAATTTCAATTGATGAGTCTAAATGTTTTCACCAGACCAACAGACTCTAGTGGGAAAAGACAGGTGCTCCTTCAGCTGAATATCTGGACCTCAGATCCAGAGCAGCATTTTCAATCTAGTTTTTCCTCTGGGGAGCTGGTTTGAGTTCAGAGTTAATCAATTGCCCTTTCAGCCTAACCATGACACCCAAAAGTTAAATGCAGAAAAGTCTCAGCTCTCACTTCAGGCTCATCTAGCACAGTTTGTCAGTTGAACTTGTAAAGCAATGCACTGTAGTATATCCAGTCAGATTGTCTAAGATGGCACATCAGAAAGGTAAACTGAGCAACTAAATTGAATGTATGGAATTCAGCAGCAAAGATCTAACCTGCAACAGCGAAGGACATCCTTTGCAGTAGCTGCCAGTACAATGTGTGTCAGCTCCATTAATATTGCATATTTCTTGTCCTTCCCTTCCTTTTCTATGTTCTATTTTCATATTTTCTTTATTTTTATTGAGTTGACAAATGCCCCAACACTTCAGGATGAATTTTTCCATTAAACCATCGGATTTATGTAAAGTAGAACATCAACAAAATAAACAAAATAATAATTATTCACTTATTTAATTATTTTTTAAAATAAACACTTTAAAAAAAAAATTAAAATATACCAGTAAGTAAATGTTAAGGTAAGTAAGTAATCCTATAGAAACTGAGACAGAGTCTAACCTGGAGGTTTACTTTAATTCCCTGAAGTTCTTTAGAAGTCTTTAACAGTTGATGAAGTATGTTGCTCCTTTCCTTAAAGACTTCTTTTAGCTGTCTTTCCAGTTCTTCATAGCTCTGTCTAACACAAAGAATAAAAGCATAAGATCATCTCAAAACATTAGTCAATGCACCTGACAACATATTAGTTCATCGAAATTTAATTCCAACACCTTGTATAGATTTCAAATTGGACTATGTCCCCTTGCTCACCCATATAACTTGATTTTTCCAAATATAGATAAATAGATGTTTTATAAATTGAAATGATCTGATTCTGAGTGAGCAAATTACCAGATTGAAATATTGCAAATTGTGGATTGTCTGTCATAAGAGATACATAAAGGGATGTATTTAGCGTGAGTGACAGTGTGAGATTTTTCTTACCTTAAAACATATACCATACAAAAAAAATGTTTTTAGAATAACAATATAATATTGTCTATTGTATTTATGTATTAGCCTTTACATGTTGTTATTGATCATAAATCAATATGATTTATGATCAATGATAATATTGATCATAAATGTTTGGATATGGTACCATTTATAACTCCTTTTAGCTGCTCGTTAGTATAACAATTTATTAGTTTTGCACCGTATAGCTCATAGAAATAATCGTGTGATTAATATATCTATGTATGCACGGGGCAGCTTATAGAAACAGTGGTGTGAAAAATATATTGTAAGCCTAGCAAAACATGAAATGTTAAAATGCTTCTATGTAACTAAGAAAGCTGTGTAAAGCAATTATGTGTTTTTCCCACATGGCTGACTGACTTCTCCAAGTGATAACAGTGATAAGAACCAGAGCACCAGAAGTCTACTTGTTAACTCCTTGTTATCAGGAAAGTGTGAAACAACAGGATGAAAGAATAAAATATATTGACCTGATGTTCAGGATGTCATGCAGCTAAGTCAGCATGAAAGGCCAGACACAACATCAAAAGCTCCTGCAAATGTTTGAATAATGTGTGAAACACATGAATATGTACAGACCTTAGTAATGTAACAGTATATAGATAACACTGTCTTAATCTACTGGTGTGTTCTTTAGCCAAAAGCCAGAAACACCCCAGCACTGGACACTGTCCCTTTTCATCCCCTTGTTAAACTTTTAAAAATTCCAAAGAGTAAACTATTTTTCACAGAAAGCAAAACTTTGGAAGTATGAAGTTTTGAGACATCAGTAATCTGAGGTGCCATGGGCAACCCAAAATGTTATTGTATTCTGTATGTATCTGTGCCCAAAATTGTTACTCTCTTTTTCAGACCCTGCAGACAGAAAACGGAAATGGGGGGCAGTCCAGTCTTCAGACCTTTTTTAAGTCGGAACTCAGAAGCAGGGAGCTCTCTGCCTCTGCTGGCAGCATTTGCTTAAGGTGGAGGCTCTGCAAGGAGTGGGTTGCCTTGGGCATTGATTTTTTATTATTATTTTTTTTCCTGGTCTTGCAATAGTAGCAACTCAAAAACCCCCTGCACTTGGCAATCAAACACTGTTTCAGTCTGAAGTTTGCAAACCTATCAGCAGCGTGAAGTGAGCCAGTCCCTGGGGCCAGTCACTTTGTGTCAGGGCTGACTGACCAGTTCCTTGTCCCAGCACGCCCACAGTGCAGGCGAGAGCAAGGGCCAACATTAGACAGAGTGTGGCTGGCAGCAGGAGGAAGAGGTGGAAGCAGCACTGACCCCACACAGGCCGGCACTTCTCATCTGCCTCTAGAATTGCTCCATAAGCCCTACCTTCCTGGAAGGCTGCTGCCATCCTTCCCCTGTGTCTCCCAACTGGCATGACTGCCTGTGAAGGCTGCAATTCTTCGGGGGAGGATCAGAACCATTTTCCCTTTGTCTCCCTATACATGGTCTCTTTCCTATGGTGGGCGCCATCTTGGAAATGGTATTTCTGCCATTTTGGATGTCTCTGTTTGTGTGTTAATTTGATTTAGCAGTTTTGTATCTAGTGATTATTTACAGTTATTTTTTGCCTGTTGCAGTTTCGCTTGTTAGCACTCATTTTAGAGTGCTCCCCTTTAAGTTGTTTTAAAGAAGGACATAAGGGATGAACAATTCAGATCTATTTTTACTTGATAAATGAAACACAGGACTCCTTTAACACAAGTGCCTTAGTATAAAGTATAGATTAATAAAAGTTAGGTGTTAGCAGCTGTGCTAGATTGCAACTGCTTTTGCAAAACAAGAAGCCTATGCCCAGAAGGGCCTACTATGATAAACAAATAGTAGATGCTATGCCTAATGCTAACTGCTCTTGAAGAAGAACAAAAAACAAGTGGACTAAGATGGCAAGGGAAAGGAGTAAGAGACAATTGGTTTGGCTAACTTTTGCTTTTTCTTCAGGAAAAGGGCTTAACTCATGTGCGCTAAGCAATAAGGAACACTTACTGTGAGAAACAGCTCATTATTTGAAATTTTTATAAAAGTTAAAAAGGGATAAAAGGGATAAAATCCAGCAAAACACCCCAAAGCATTGGGGTGTTTTGGTGATCAGCCAAAAAATACACCATTAACTTAAAACAATGTTCTCTATATAATGTTGTATTACAGGGGGTACATGCATCTTCATAGGAGCTTATACATATTCAAACATTCCTGTGAGTTTAGGTGTTCCATGAATTCTTTTGCTTGGTTTTAACCTTTGACTTGTCCATCCTTCAGATTAAATCAGTATATTTTATTTCTTCTCATGGTTCGTCCTGTTGTTTTTACACTTCCTGATAATGAGGGGTCAGTAAATTGGGTTCTGTTTTTTGTCACTGTTATTTTATAACTTAGATAAGATGGTCCACAAAATGTGATGAACTACCTAATTATCTTACACTATTCTCTGAGTTAGTTACATGAATAAAAGCATTTTAACATCACATAGTCTCTGTTTTAATATTATGCTACAGCTTAAGGTATATTTATTGCACTACTATTTATATAAGCTATATGGTGCATATACAAACTGACAGATAATATTATACCAAAAGGCAGTTAAAAGGAAATATAAAGTGTACCATGTCAAAATCTTTCTGATTAATAATAATATGTTAAAGCTAGCTAATACATAAATGTGAAAGCCAATAATATATTGTCTTTATAATACTTATTAACTGCCATTTTTATGACTAATAGAAGAGCTGTCAAAAGAATAGAAAAATGTTATAAAAGAATAGGAACATAATAAATGCACAATTACAGATGAAGAATAACTGATACAGCAATAAAATGTGTAGTAATATAAGTAAGCATTAGCAAAATAGGTGTGATGAATGTATTAGATACAAATAGTGTGCTGTTTGTAACCGTAAGATAAGAAAACCACAAGTTATGGAAGACCTCAACCCCTTAAGACTAATTTTTAGATAAACAAACAAACAGGGCAGATGCCTGTCATGGTTTTAAAGCCCTAGCTAAAAAAAAAAATCACTAGAAAACTTACTCATTTCTTGCTGTGAGATATGGATTAGGAGAAGGGCAAAACAGGCTTAAAACTTAAAAGGAATAAAGAAAGTTTATTAACAAAACTACAAGAATAAGAAACCAGAATGAAACCTCCAGAAACCCTTCTTCCCTACCACCCAACCTTTTTTGTCCAACTGACAACTTAGAGACAAAACCCAGTGGTTAAAGCAGTCCTAACTATATAGCAGTCTTTTTATCAGTCTTTGTAGAGAAAAATAAGTTCTATTTTGTCCTTCTATGGAGAGTTTTTCACAAGAAAACAGTTTTCTCATGGCTTTGTATTCCTCTGATGCCAGCTGCCCGGAAAACTCTGCCATCAGGCACCTCCTCCCATTTCACACCACTCTGAGGTGTGTCCATGGGGTATGAACTCAAGGGGTGTCATTTTAACGATGAGTTATTCAAAGACAAATGTTCTCTTCATCTATCTCTGTGACCATTTCTGGGAACAGAGGGTTTCTCGTTTCCTCTTGGGGGCCAAGCATCTCTATCAACTCTCACTTCTATTTCTCTGTTCCAGCATTTCATGAGATCACAACTTCACCATCTGCTCAGCTTCATCTATGAACTACCTTTGCTCAGATCTACACTTTCAAATATTTCATTCCCCCCAAAATACTTACTCTTTCATGAATTAAAGGAGTTTTTTTTTTCCTGGAACATTATTGTCCATCTCCATAGCTTTAACAAAAGAATATTTCATCTTATTAAGGCATCTCCTTATTCTCTTCCCATCTGAAGCTTAATTTTTTCTTTCACTAACTCTGATATCTCATGTTGTCTCTCTACATGTTGGTCGCTTTTGCTTTCTTCTCTCTGGATGAAGGATTAAATCTGCAGGTCTCATCTGGGTAGTGAAAGGGTTAAAATCTGGCACAAGCCTTGTGGATGGTCACGTGATCTCAACCAGGGCAGCGGCTGGAGCTGTTTGCCATGGAGGATTTTTGGTGGTTGCTCTGGGGGTGTGGCCAGCATCTTAACATGCCCCTGGCCGATGGCTTTCCCTCTCTTTACTCGGCAGTCTCTGGTGAAACCCATCAGCAGCAGAAACTGCAGCCAAGCCAAGTACCGGCCTGGCCCAGCAGCCCCGCTGTACAAAGCTCAGCAAGCCCTTCGAGGGGCTCAGCCCCTCTGGGAAGCGGCTCCTGACACTTCACAATCTCTATCCCCCCCAACCCAGGAGCCGCAGAACTCTGGCTAGCCCCCGCTCCCCCCGCAGTCTGGTCCGGCCTGGTGGGGAGGAGGCTGAGCCACAGTTCTGTTACCTTTCACAGCCGTAAACGAAGAGGGAGCTAGAAGCTCCCGGGCTTAGTTTTAAAGGGTGGTGTTCGCAGGTTGATCTCACTTTTCAATGATCAAAACTACTGTCAGTTCTCAGAAATGGCCAGCTATCGGCCAGAAGGAAAAAGGGGAAAAAAAATAACTTCCCTACAGCCTCCAGCAGCCTTAACTTCCGTGGCTGTTTTCTACTTTTTTCTTAAATGACAATCCATCACAATGCCAAACTTGTTAATGTATAAATAACCACTGTAAAATAAGCATGGCAGAGATGCACATGCAGGTGTGGTATTAAAAATTGATGCCTATGTAAGTTAGGTCAAAATTACAAGGTGCTTATATAGCTTGAGTTATAAGACATCAATATAACAGATATCAATATAACCTGAATCATAGCTTTCTATACTTATATAACCAGAGTCATAGCTTTTTATACCTATATAACCTGATATGAATAACTTCCTATACAATGTAATGGCTAGTATATGGTTCACTACTTACTTAATACTGAATGGAGAAAAAAAAAAAAAAAAAAAAAAAAAAAAAAGAAGAAAATTCACCAAGTAGTTAGTTTCAGAGATAGATAAGTATAATACTGAGAAATTGCCAAATGTAAAGCCAATTCACCACAAAACAAAGAATTTAGGCCAGTTAGCAGTTAGAACCAGATGGACCAAGGAACACCATAACTGCACATGCTCGAAAGACAAAGTTGAAAAGTTCAGATGCAAAGATTTTGGAAGCCTTTATCAAAGAAACATGACAACCCCTGAATTGGGGAGATGCAAGTGCAGTGCAAAAGAACTATTTCTAATAATAAGATCATACTATGTAAATTAGTTCTGGCATGTATATGATGGTGTTATAATGACATAGTAACACTAAGCAATGCTGCATAAATATACCACAGCACTTGACAAAGGTGGGTGAGTTAGGAGGACAAATCCCCCTCACCTCCAGCACTGCAATAAACAAATACCTGCTCTATAGACATTGGTCTATGGGGTTTTATTTCCACCCTATCTTTTGGGCATCAATCCCCTGCATGCCGCATGCTCCCCCTGACCAGGCCAATAAAGATTGCTTTACTTTACAGTTCCTTACTGTGGAGTAGAGTCCTTTGAATCATAAAGTTTAACTCACTCTATAATTTCTTCTCACTTAAACCTTACAGTAGAAGCTAGAACTGACAAATACGTTCAGTGGAATCAAACCTAGTTATTAATTAATGGATGAGTAAAAACATTCTATGCTTTTCAAAATGGAACTTTATTTGGAATGAAATCTTATAAAGTTTTTATAAAATCCCCAATGAAATAAATCCAATTCATATTGCTTGAGGTCAAATGAAATACAGATCCAGCTCTCATATTCCATTTCAGAAAAACAGGTAAACTTTACAATTAATGCTAACACAACATACTTTTTCATTTAAATTGTTGTTTTGAGAAAGACCAAAGTTTTCTTTTTGCAACTTAATTTTTCTTTCATGCAGTACCTCTAGTTCTAAAAAGGGGGGCAAATCTCAAATTTGCAGTACAAAAGTTGTGTTTTACTAGGACATTCAAGATCTTGAGGTTAAGAAGACATCTTAACCTAACTAAGACTAACGGACTTTAAATTCACACTTTAGCAGAGAAACTCAGTAAAGCAAACGAAATGTTTTATCTAATATCAGTACTACCTACTTTAGTAATTGGCAGTTCACAAAATATGACAGACTTAGGAAAAAAGAAAATTATTCTATATTAAATGATACTTTAAGTAACTAGAAGTGATGACAGTGACTTGAATTTCATAATAAAAACTAGATAACTGGATGTTATCAAAACATAAGTTCAAGGCCAGTTGAATGGAGTTTTAAGCATCCTGGCCTAGTGGAATGTTTCCCTAACCATGGCAGGGGATTGGAATTGAAGTTCCCTTCTAATCCAAACCATTTTATAATCCTATGATAAAAAATAGGTTAGCTCTTGTTGCAGTGCATTAAGATATATGGTATGTCCCTGAGGATAAAACCCACCCTTGGTTCTGTATAATGTTAGTACTTTCCTAGCCTCCCTTTCTTTTTCCCTATCCCATTGGCTGCTACCCC